ACTGCTACCACTGCAGCCTATACTACTTCTAATAGCCTATAAGCTAAGGTAAGGGGGTGGGGGGATATGATTTAAAGGTATGGCTTAGTACAAGGACTGGCAGCGACATAGTGCTATGCAGAGAAATAAAACTTCTTGTTATGTGGAAAACCTCAACCTAAATGTGTTGTTGAAACTTCCTCTTCAAACGGGAAATAAAACAGTAAAATAATGTTAGCCTTAATTGTCATCTAATAATATGCGGTTTTGCTCAGCAATATCTTTCATAATGGACACTTTCAGTATGATTACATTCCATATCATCTATTATAGTATTCCATGCAATTATTGATAAAAGGTACTCATGCAGTGTGTGATAGGAGTCACTTTGGGTGGGGGGCACATGGAACCCAGCTCACTTTGGAGAGGTGAGGAGACCCCTGTCTCAGCTCCCCATATCCCTCTTATGTGTAAACCACCCTGTGCCTGTTAGGGGTACAGGGTAATCGGTCCTAATATTGTGTGGGCTTTGTCTCAGACTATGTAGACATGTTTAGGAGATAGGTGGGGGTTGTGGATTGTTTAATGTTATGTGTATTAGCTTAGTGGGGGGTGTCTCCAGCAGTCCTCCCTCCTGATGGGACTGTCTGCTTGTGTGAAGTTTGAATTTCTGTAGGCCTCTTGTTACTAAATGTAGATTGCCCCGCCCTGTGTCATTATGCAGGGAGGGCGGATTGTCCCCTGAGTGTATATATCTTGTATCTGTGTTCAAATAAACTAGTCTACCTCCTGGTTTACTTCAAGACTGGTGTCATCTAGTCTTGTATGGTTGGCTGTGGTGTCTGTTGTCAGTGTTCGGACGGGGAAGCGGTATTCTAACGGAAGTACTCAAGCGCCGTCTGGGTCGGTTCCAATACAGAGTGTACTCTTATTACTAAACAAATGCCCCATACACACGATAAGAAAATCATCTGAAATATTTAGTGGAACCACTGATCGATTGTTTTTCTCTTTGTTGATAAACAGGATGTTTTAACCGATAACGATATTGTGAACGAAAAAATCCGGTTGAACAATAGTGAAAAATGTTATCGTTTCACATACGAATGACCAATTTTTTTATGCGGTGGTATGATAGTCATGCGAAAAAAAAAAATCTATCAATCGCCATCACACATGAGTGGAAACAGAAGATGACTCGGATGTTTATGTCCAAGGAATCTTCGTAAACACGAACGAAAAATCCAAATGTTAAAAGTAGATTGGCCTAATGAGATAATGAAACCAGAATTCTGCATATTATATTTTTATGTATCACTATTTATGTATATAGATAATGTAATAAACTATATTATACTCATTGCTGGTAATTGTTGCGTATAATCGCTCGTTCTGGCCGGAAGGGAGTGGCTACAAGGTCACACGCACACTTCATCACTTCCACTTGTACGGAAGACATCGACACTACGTATTGCCCGACTAATGATTTTTCAGATTGGTTAATGTGGGCTACGATTTCAACCAACGAACGCCTCTCAGTCGTCGGATGACTGATCGGTCGATTTTCTATTCACACCTTTAGTCAGATGTAACTAAAGAAGCAGCTCTTGAAAATTCAGAGTTCAATTACTAGTAGGTAATGACTGTTCACTAAGCCTAAGCTGTGTTTTACTTTGAATAGCCCTTCTTGTGCAAGGAAATCTAAAAATGAGAGTTTTTGATTGGATTGTTGTGATGACAGCTTCTCCTCATTCACTGAAGCTGGCCATACACTTTAAGATTCCCCACAGGTAGGACAAGAGAAATCACTCAATTCCCCCATTCAGAGGTGTATTTTGGTTTTGTGCTGCCCTAGGCAAGACTAAAATTGGGCACCCCCCCCCCCCCCCCCCGCATGTCCCACCCTTTTAGCTGCAAACTCCACCCCTTCCTCTTTAGGCTCCACCTCTTCCTATTAGAGCTCCACCCACTGGCAACGATGGGGCACGATTCCATGATAAGGCTGACACTATTTTTAATGATGGGGCACTATTCCTCCCACTGACACCAATGATGGGGCACTATTCCTCCCACTGACACCAATGATGGGGCACTATTCCTCCCAGTGACACCAATGATGGGGCACTATTCCTCCCACTGACACCAATGATGGGGCACTATTCCTCCCACTGACACCAATGATGGGGCACTATTCCTCCCACTGACACCAATGATGGGGCACTATTCCTCCCACTGACACCAATGATGGGGCACTATTCCTCCCAGTGACACCAATGATGGGGCACTATTCCTCCCACTGACACCAATGATGGTGTCCCATCATTAGTGTCAGTGTGTGAGGAATAGTGCCCCATCAATGGTGTCAGTGGGAGGCCCGGAGGCCCACTTGGGACAAGTGAGGGGCAGTGGGACAGGAGGAGCTCAGAGGGCAGGTAGGGGGCAGCGTGATGGGGGGCATGGGACAGGATCGGAGCAGCGGGACAGGAGAGGCGCAGAAGGATAGGTGAGGGGCAGCGTGGCAGGGGTCATGGGACAGGATCGGGGCAGCGGGACAGGAAGAGTGCAAAGGGACAGGATCGTGGCAGTGGGACAGGATTGGGGCAGTGGGACATGAGGAGCACAAAGGGACAGGTGAGGGGCAGTGGGACAGGAGGAGCACAGAGCGACAGGTGAGGGGCAGTGGGACAGGAGGAGTGCAATGGGACAGGTCAGGGGCAGTAGGACAGGAGGAGCTCAGTGGGACAGGTGAGGGGCAGTGGGACAGGAGGAGCACAGTGGGACAGGTGAGGGGCAGTGGGACAGGAGGAGCGCAGAGGGACAGATTGGGGGCAGCATGACGGGGGGGGGCATGGGACAGGATCAGGGCAGCAGGACAGGAGTAGCGCAGAGGGACAGGTAAGGGGAGATGGACAGGAGTAGCGCAGAGGGACAGGTGGGGGGCAGATGGACAGGAGTAGCGCAGAGGGACAGGTGGGGGGCAGATGGACATGAGTAGCGCAGAGAGACAGGTGAGGGGCAGATGGACAGGAGTAGCGCAGAGGGACAGGTGGGGGGCAGATGGACAGGAGTAGCGCAGAGAGACAGGTGAGGGGCAGATGGACAGGAGTAGCGCAGAGGGACAGGTGAGGGGCAGATGGACAGGAGGAGCGCAGAGGGATAGGTGGGGGGCAGATGGACAGGAGGAGCGCAGAGGGACAGGTGGGGGGCAGATGGACAGGAGGAGCGCAGAGGGACAGGTGGGGGGCAGATGGACAGGAGGAGCGCAGAGGGACAGGTGGGGGGCAGATGGACAGGAGGAGCGCAGAGGGACAGGTGGGGGGCAGATGGACAGGAGGAGCGCAGAGGGACAGGTGGGGGGCAGATGGACAGGAGGAGCGCAGAGGGACAGGTGGGGGGCAGATGGACAGGAGGAGCGCAGGGGGACAGGTGGGAGGCAGATGGACAGGAGGAGCGCAGAGGGACAGGTGGGGGGCAGATGGACAGGAGGAGCGCAGAGGGACAGGTGGGGGCAGAGATGGGGACAGGAGGAGCGCAGGGGACAGTGGGGGGCAGGACAGGAGGAGCGCAGAGGGACAGGTGAGGGGCAGATGGGAGGAGGAGCGCAGTGGGACAGGTGAGGGGCAATGGGGACAGGTGGGTGGTAGTGGGGACAGGGGTGGTAGTGGGACAATGTGGGGGACAGGGGGGGAAAGGAACAGGTGTGGGGCAGGGTGACATGTGGGGCAGGGGGCAGTGTGATAGATGGGGGCAGTGTATCAGGGGACAGTGAGACAGGACCGAGGGAGCACCAGTCCTCCAAGCACTTACCTGTCCAGCAGCGGCTCCTCCAGATGGTGTCAGGATCACCAGGTGCCTGTGTCCCTTCTCCCCCATGATCTCCGGCGGCGGCGGCGGCGGCGGCTGCAAAGGAGCGGGCCGGCTCTGTCCCCTGACCTCGTCCTCTTCTGCTTCCTCCTTCGGACCTTCCTGCACATCCCAGCACTTATAGCGGGCCCCGCCCCTCACGCGCTCCGAGCGCACACCGGGGATCCGCCCACCACTCCGCTCTCCTCTGCAGCCGGTGACATGCGCAGATGCATCAGGGGGACAGATCTTGCTGCTACACTGGTCCCTCAGCCATGGCAGCCCTGCCCCTGTCCCTTTCCTATGGAAGTGTCCCTTCTGTGGGAAAGGGGGCAACACTGCCGCCGTGCCATCCCCTGTAAAGTGCCGCCCTAGCAAATGCCTAGTTTGCCTCGCAGCAAATACGCCCCTGCCCCCATTAATATAGCATGGATGAAACTACAAAGCTGACTATCGTATTTTGACAGCCAGCACCCATGGCTGTCAGAATACTTGAACAGTGCATGCATCTGCTTGGATGTTCTACCCGACCTCTTCCACAAAAAAAACAACTTCTGTCAAGCCAGGTGGTGCCGAAAGGGCCACCTGCTGAATGAATCCTGGCTGATTCAGGAGGAATCATCCAAAATATGATTCATGTATGGCCAGCTTAAAGGCCAAGTTCACCTTGTAAATTATTAATATCTTTTATTAAATTTTATTTCAGTACAAATTAAAACAGTACACAATTTATCATAACACAAACAGTCTAGCTGTTCTTTTCCTAAACCCTCTCACCTTCCCATCCCAATCCCTCTATCCCCATAATTACCCCAATCAATCTATTTCTACCAATCTCTTTCTAAAGCTTTCTACTAAACACCTCAGTGTCATGGTCAGTCATGTTTACCACTCTCCAGTTATTCAGTTTGAATCTCTAAATCCACCTACTTGGTACCCATTATTCTGAGATATTTTTCTGATGATTTAAAAACATACCACCAACTCCATTCTTCTCTAAATTTTCCCATTGTATCTTCATCTCTGTGGTATAACTCCTCTATCGTATTCATATGGCCAAGTTCACCTTTTGCACCATGTTACATGTTAAACCAGAAAATGTATAAAATGTGTTAAGCGACCTAATGATGAAGTATGACGTGTCTCGGAAAGGATTTTCAGAACACACATACACTCACCTGTATGTATAAACGTGTGTTTCTTCATGTCTGACTTCTGGTGGAAACGCTTGCCACAATACTGACAGGGGTACGGCCTTGTGTCCGAGTGGATAAGTAGGTGTGTGGAAAGTGTGGATGATCTCTTAAAACTTTTACCACATATTTTACAATCAAAACTTCTCTCCTGTAGGAAATATGATAGAAAAAAAAATCAATGAATATAAACCTATAGATCCGTATAATATACATATTGCACAAAAACTGATACCAAAGCAGGCCAAAAATGTGACTTATTATTTCCCGTTTTTTTTATAGATTGTAAAATTTTTATTATACATTTTTATGACTATTAACTCATATAGAATGTCCCCACACTTTGGGGAAGACTAACGTATTTTAGATTTAATATTTACTTTAGTACATTAGCATTTTGGTATGCAAAGTATTTATTTTATTTATGACTTTTATTTGAGATAATTTTTTTCAGGTTAGGTAGAGACTACAGTAAATTTTGTTTCGGATATCTTTGGTTTTAAAAGGGCTGTGAATTTTTGTATTTGTAGAATTTATGTGTTCAGTTGCTGAATATGTTTTAAGAGTGTTGATTGATAAGTAAATGCAATAATAATTGCAATACAAAAAAAACTGAAACAAATTCACTAAGACACTTTAATTATAGGAGACCTTTTACCAACAAAAATTGGGAATTTTAGTGAATAGGACAACACTGTTTACTTTAATCCTGACCACCCTATAGCAGAAGTACTGCTACAGGGCAGCAGGGATGTATAAAATTATATATATATATATATATATATATATATATATATATATATACACACGATTTTGCATTTCCAGGTAGGGCTCCCTACCCGTGCCGCTATTGGCCCCTGGGCAACACAGATCTCAGCACCAACAGTCTGCTTTATATAGCAATACAAAGCAGCTTGTCCACAGAGTAAAACACACACAGCTGTGTGTGCATGTTTACCCCTTCCTGCCCAGTGTCATTAGTACAGTGACAGTGCTTTTTATTAGCACTGATGACTGTATTAGTGTCACTGGAGATGTCAGTGACAGTTAGTTAGTTCCCACCCAGTATCAGAATGTCCGCCGCAGTCCCACAATAAGTCGCTGATTGCTGCCATTACTAGCAAAATAAATAAATAAACAAATAAATAAATTAATTAATTAATAAATAAATAAAAATTCCAGTATATATACCGCCATTTGTAGACGCTATAACTTTCACGTAAACCAATTAATTTATGCATATTGGGATTTTTTTTTAGCAAAGACATGGAGCAGAATACATTTTGTCCTAAATTTATGAATAATATAAATTTTTACATTTCTTTTACTAGATATGTTTTATAGCAAAAAGTCAAAAATATTGGTTTTTTTTTCATAATTGTTGGCCTTTTTTTTTTGTTTATAGCGCAAAAAAAATAAAAACCGCAGAGGCAATCAAATACTATTGAAAGAAAGCTCCATTTGTGGGAGAAAAGGACATAAATTTCATTTATTTACAACGTTGCATGACCGTGCAATTGTCAGTTAAAATAACGCAGCGTCGTATCGCAAAAAATGGCCTGGTCAGGAAGGAGGGCAAATCCTCTGGAGGGCAAGTGGTTAATCATCCAATCATGTGCAAAAAAATTTTTTTAAGTGAACTCAAAATTGTAATATTTACTTTGGTAAGAGAGCAGTATCTGCTCCTTTAGTAAATGAACCCCAGAAGGTCATCAAAGAAACCAGGCAGCTACAATTTTCAGCAAGAGATAAGTACTGACCACTCCTGTATTACTTGAATGAAATTTCACATCAAAACATCTGAGAAACGTGGATTAAGTGTAACTCACCAGGTGCATATTAGTATATTTCTGTATGCATAAGTAATCCAAAATGTATTTTCCTGCACTCTTAGAGCAAACTTCTGTGGGGTAGAATAGAGGTTTTGCATACCCCCCCCCATATGTTTACCTTATCTTCAGTACCATCCCACTTTATCTAGCTACCAAGAGCAGAAAAAAAACAATCCATACTTCCAAGTATGGAGGAGCATGTGGCTCACTTTAAATGATAGTGCTGAGCCAATCACAAAGCACTGTCGCTGTTACATGGCTCCTTCTGCTAATGGCAGTTGAACAGGACAGTGAAGGAATGAAGAACAGGTGAGTATGTGCCACTGGGCAGGATGGAGAGGAGGATTAAAGAGAGCCTCTTGCTTTTTCCTGCATAGACAAATAAAGGTTCACTTTGAGCATATCTGGAAGTCGTTCTTTCTTCTTACCTGAGAATGGACAGCTTTATGTTGCTCTAAGCTGACAGCATGGCCAAATGTCTTTCCACACATTTCACATGCAAATGGTCTTGTCCCACTGTGTGATCTACGTACATGAACCTCTAATCCATGAGGTGTGGAGAACACCTATGAGGAAATCATAAGACATGGGGGTTGATTAAATATGAACCACTGATAACACAAAGATGGTTGTGCTAGCTTAGAAAAACAGTGTAAATCAATCTTGTGAGTCATATCCCATTTATTGGTTCAAAAATCAATTGAAGTGTTATTAAACCCACAACAGAAAAATCAGTCTGTATATGCCATAAAGCATGCGTGTTACACTCACTGTGGAACCTTAGGGGTTAATCCTCTGAATTGTGTAAAAAGGATGTTTGATCCTGTCTTCTCTAATCCTCCCCTTCTTCTACTGTCCGCAATCCATCTGCTGATAGAACAGGGCCTTGGGGGCAAGCTGCACATGCTCAGTTTGGTATGTATTGCTAGAGTGTTTTTTATTTCTTGAGAGAGTGCATGTGATCAGCACAGGACCAATCAGCACTGTCACTGACAGAGGGTCAGGGGTCCTGCAGCCTCATGGGACAATCAGGGGAGAATGAAAACTCCTCCTACAAGCTTTACCAGTGCTCTGCTGGACACTGATAGAAGTCACAAGACTGCTCTAAGTGCTGATGAGAAAAGGTATTTAGCAGTTTATATTTACTAAAATAATTGAATTTCCATGTTCTGTGTACTGTGGGAGACCAGATATAGTGAATGCAGGGTCCTGGGTTTAGTAACACATTAATGTTAAAAAATTTGTGTTATCTAATCTTTTAAGCATGCTTATTGTGTTCATACCTTACTGCACTTTAGACATTTGTAGGAACCGGTGTTAAGCAGCAGTCGTGTACACAGCAGATCAGACTCCACCTTGATACCTTGCGTCTTTTCTCCGTATAAAGCAGTGGCAGAACAAGACTCTCCATAACGAGACACTCCCTGTGCATAGTCCCCATACAGCCCATGAACACCCCTCTCCGAACTGTACAGAGGTGAGGGATGAGAAGGAGTGTCCCTGTCTCCATAGAGTCCTAGGGAAGAATTTCTCTCCAGTCCTGATGGCCTGTAGTTCTGCACCAACTGTCGTAGTTCAGAGCCAACCAAACTGCTCCACGTATAAGACTTGAATGATGGTGGGAAGGGTGGAGAATCTTCCAGAGATGGGCAAGCTGACTTTTCTGAGGCTACAGAGACAATAGAAGCAGATGTAGAATAAGAAATAGGCATTAGACATTTATGTACAGTGATAACATTTCCAATAAATGCTCTTTAATTGGTTATATTAAAAATCAAATAAGAATAGTTTGTCGTTATTCTAACATTGCTTAGCCTGGTGATAGACCATAACTGGACCAAGGGTGACAAAGGTACCGTATCAATACACTACATATACAGTACATCAATTGGCCATTGGGATTGAGCGACTAAAGCAGGGGTGGGCAAACTTTTTGACTTTTTGAGGGCCGCAATGGGTTCATATATTGGACCCGGGGCCGGACCAAGAGTAGATGAATGATGTGTATGTGTCATCCATAGTAAGTATAGTAATATTCCCCCATAGTAAGCATAGTAATTAATCCCCATATAGTAATTCATCCCCCATAGTAATTCATCCCCCATATAGTAATTCATCCCCCATAGTAATTCATCCCCCATATAGTAATTCATCCCCCATATAGTAATTCATCCCCCATAGTAATTCATCCCCCATATAGTAATTCATCCCCCATATAGTAATTCATCCCCCATAGTAATTCATCCCCCATATAGTAATTCATCCCCCATAGTAATTCATCCCCCCTATAGTAATTCATCCCCCCTATAGTAATTCATTCCCCATATTAATTCATCCCCCATATTAATTCATCCCTCATATAGTATTTCATCCCCCACAGTACTATTCCCCCCCAAGTAGTAAGCCAAGTCCCCCCTGTGTCAATTCACTTACCTTTGCTCCGCGCGTTCCTCTCGCCGTGTTCCCGCGCCGTTCCGGTCTTCAGGGCGGACTGTGAGAGGAGCCTAGCTCCCCTCACGTTTGTCACGCTGCCCCGCCTACACACATCCTGACAGCCAATGTATCACGCTCTGCGTGCCGGATTAAAAGGTCCGCCGGGCCGTAGTTTGCCCATTGCTGGACTAAAGGAATAGTGGGCTGAGAATGTCCACTTCGTGAAGCTAATGTTCACTTCATTTATTGAATGAGATAGAAATGTTCACTTCCCTCTTAGATTGTAAGCTCCAAGGAGCAGGGCCCTCAAATCCCTCTTGTATTGAACTGTATCGTTGCTGTATTGTCTCCTGTTATATTGTACAGTGCTGAGCAAACTGTTGGCGCTATATAAATCCTGTATAATAATAACTGCAATCATCCAATCGTGCAAGCAAAAATCCAGTTTTTACATTGTCTTTGTATGTGAGTATATATTCCAGTTAAACACAGCTTCATCTCATTTGCTATGCTAGGTGAACATTCAATTTGCTAAGTGAACAGCCTCTACTGCTTTAGGAAACCAACACCATTTGTTCTTTTAGGTGCTCAGCATTAGGGCTAATCTCTTCGAGATCTATTGCTTTCCATTTCACTGGATTTTTCAGTACAAGCACAATGCATGGGCATCAGAAAATTAATTGTTTTCAAAAAAAATCTGTTCATCCACTGTGTTGCATCGCAGTGCTTTTTGCCTTTAAAGTATTTTTAGTAAATTCTTTTAGAAACACATGGGGGTTGATTTACTAAAACTGAAGAGTGCAAAATCTGGTGCAGCTGTGCATAGTAACCAATCAGCTTTTCACGTCAGCTTGTTCAATTAAGCTTTAACATTAAGTCCCCGGTCACACTGGGTGCGACTTGGCATGCGATTTGCAAGTCGCACTCTATTGTCCGCATTTTACAGCTGTCATATAGGTGCGGTTTCAAATTGGTCGGAACAATTTCTAAAGTAGTTCATGCACTACTTTTGGTGCAATCTGCATAGACATCTGCGTCAGATGTCTTGCAAATCACACCTCAAATCAGTATGTCATCCGACATTGAAACCCTGCAACTTCACTGTAAGTTGCACGATTTCAAAGTCAGGATCGGTGTGACCGGGGTGTAAAACCTTGAAGCTGATTGGTTAGTATGCACAGCTGCACCAGATTCTGTGTGCACCAATCTTAGTAAATCTCCCCCAATGGGTCACTTTAAGTTAGTTTATTAGAGCTTCTACTAATGAACTTCAGTAGACCACCAGTGTATACATTTATTATCAACCCTCAATTTGTTTGCTGTCTGAGTGTCTGTGCTGGCCATTTGTAAAAAGTGATACCTATGTCTATTACAAATTAAACTGATGCAGTTATAATTGTTTGTACATGGTGAAAAAGGATCATTAGAGAGTCTGAAAAATGTCTGAAAAGCTGGTTGGAAATTTTTAACCAGTTACAGATAGTTCATCTCTGGATTTTATAATAGCATTTAATATGATGCCATTTTAACAACCTATACTCTGATGAAGTGAAAAAAAATATTATTAGGTCAATTTTGTAAAGGAGTTGAGTATTTTCACAAATATGTGAATATTTACTTCAATTATTCAATGATGTGCAGATGAAATAAACGCGCTGGGATTTTCTTTTCACATGATTGGATAACTGAAGTTAATCTTCACACAATTTATTGTGTGAATCTTCTCTCCTTTAGTAAATAAGCCACAATATGTGAATGTCTGATAGTTACACAATTTGTAAAAAATAAAATATCCATATGCATGGCCAGCTTAAAGCTAATGTTCATATGTAAAGCAAGATATGCAGAAAAGCCAAAAAAGAAATTGTATAATCAGTTTTTAATTTTTTATTCATGTTGCCAGTTTAGTAAAACAGCAACAAACAATCAGATTTTTCCACCCTCTATAAGTTTACGCGCTGCTCTGTTTAAGATGTGGTAGGGATTCATTCACAATGACTGTGTCTAGAGTTAGATTTGCACTGTTCTGAAATATTAAACCAAACATTGAGAACCTATTATCTAATTAGTGAACCACTGCATGCTGAGATACACCTATGCTGTGGTCAGCTAGAGCAGAAGAAACACTAAGAATTCTAATGTATATGGTGAAACGTATACTACAGAACTCACATATGTATGTGACAAAGGCTGAAGACAGGGGAATATCTTATAAATACAATTTGGATTTATATTCTACAAAACCAATTTTTATCAAAGGCAATCTGGCATTAGAAATGGAAATATTTCCTATTTACATCAGTTTAAACCAGACCCTAATCAGTATGCATAATGTATAAAACAATAAAGACAGACAGGAAACAAGCTAAAGTACTGTTTGGAAATAAAAGGAAACCCTGTGTTTGGATTTGAGGGATCTAAATGACTAAAATCATTATATAAACTTTCAGTTCTGAATAATATAAAGAATTGAATGACAAATGAGATGTCAAGGTGACCTAGTTAATAATAAAAATAATGTGCTTTTTTTAATATGGATGTGATTCATGTTAGGTTTAGAGAAATGACCATTTCAGCTTTACACAAATGATCCAGCCCTGCTACAAACAATGGATTATGTACAAACATCAATTTTACATCATTAATTGTTTTAGGACGGTTCTATACATGAATGACATGTGTCCCTGAGCTACACAAGGCTGAGATCACACAACTACAACCAACAATACATCGAAATGCCACTGAAGATTTTTTATAATGTTGATTAGTGCCTACTATAGCATGTTAACAATGAGATTGATCTATTAAAGGAGAAAATGTTGAATCAGGTTATGTATTCAAAATTATGTTTTTCTTTTTTTTTTTTCATAATCACTCCTGCACATGATTAGTTAGTCAAAGTGATTTTTTTTTTCTTCAAGTTTGAATATTCACTGTGCTAATGGATGATTAATAGATACAGTATGTTACTTTACTTTGTAACACATTCTTAGAAAATGAAAAACAATCAACAAAATAGCTAGCTAGCATTAAACCTCCTATTGGATGTTGCCATAAGTATGCAGAAAGCAGTAAAAAAAAATCGAAAAATTCCAAATATAGGATCAGATTGCATTATAGTCCCACATAATAGATAGTAATACATAATATTCAAAGGGCACAATTAGAAATACAGGGTTATCACAGTAGTGGGATAACCTTCCAATGGAGTCATTTTACTCTTCCTCTGGCTTAGATTAGCTATTTTTCTTACTATAATTTTATATTATTCTATCTTTAATGAGATGTGTGAAGTGAAGACAAGTTGTCTAGTGACATAAAAAGGGAATCCTTCACTAAATCGGTCCCTTTTGCTGGGAGGAAGGGAGGGTTCTAAAAAAGAGAGAGGAGGAAAGATCCTTGCGTAGAATTCTACAAAACCATGATTTTTTTTAATTTTCTTCTGTTGATAGAAATGATAAATCTGATATATTACAACTTTTTATAAAGCATTCCTGCATTCCTCTTTGCAAATATTGCAGCTCTGTTCTTTTTTTGACAGGATGGTTAAAAGATGTAAGAATTGAAATAAAATTGGCTATACATAAGCAATCATTGATAATACATTAAAAAAGTAATTTGTCCATAATAATATCCCTGTAATTGGCATTGTTTTTTTATTTTACAATGTGTAGTTTCCCCAAGTAAATGTTTTATTTATTTGTTTGTTTGTTTGTTTGCTTGCTTGTTTCCTTGCATATTATGATGAATTCCATTTTAATTCAATGGCTGGGTTACAGCCATTTTGTTGATCTTCAGATATTTTTCAGCAACTGAATCAAAACTGTTTTGTTCCTTTAAAATGCCATTATTGAGAAATAAACATGTTTGGTCACCATGACATTGCCAGGTTATAATAACGAGTCCTACTATTTAGGAGAAAATCTCTGCTAAATGTAACATTTATATTTTTTATATTTAGGCTGATGTTTTGGAGCTTAATGCCTTAATAGCAGGATATTTTACTATTATTTTACTTCATTATTTTTTAGCTTCTTTAACTTTTTATTTTACCAAAATGTATAAAAATGCTATCAGTATTTTACTTCATTATTTTTTAGCTTCTTTTAACTTTTTATTTTACCAAAATGTATAAAAATGTTATTATTAGAAAAAACAGAATATATCCTGCACCATACCACCATCAGCTACAAGTCCACATGTAGTCAAAGCACATACAACTGAGGAAATACTCACTCTTTATTACATCACAATCCAATCAACTATATTTTTCTGAACA